TGTGTTTTTTTTTTTTTTTTGTTTGGGGGGGGGGGGTTACCTACAAAGTCTATCGAAAATAAGTTATAAACAAATGGCTTGAGCAATACAGTGTGTCAGTAAAGTTCCTTCAAAAATACTCACAATTTTTGAGGTAAATTGAATTTAAACTTGGTAGGTATGTTTTGGGCCATTCTGTAACAACAAATACAAATAACAGGTAAGGCAGTACAGTCCGAAAGATAAATGGAACGTCTGCTTATTAATAAACTGTGACTTAAACACAACTAAGTAGTACTGAAAACGCGACTAAGAACTTACAGTAATAAAAAAACTTCCAGGGCGAACAATATACCTCCCTCTCCTTTTTTAAACTGTGCAAATCTCTATCATCGATCGCGTAAAAACAAAGACTTACGGGTGTTAAAAAAAAGGACGCCGAGGGGAATAATAAGGGGTTAAGAGGAAATATGTAAAAGGACAGAGAAAAATTAATAATTAGGAGCTTCATTGTCTGTGCTCTTCGCCAGATCAAGTATTATGAGTGTAAACACAGAGACGAGGATAAGATGAAATATTAACGTAGCGAGCATGGGAGAAATGAGATAACATTAATTGGAAAGCCTACAGGGAACAAGCCACTACGGTAATAAACATTTGGGATCCATGAAAGGTTAGAAATTTCGTGGCTATCAGCTTCTCAAGATAGACTCTACTCAATAGAGTTAATTTTTAAGACGATTTTCCTGGATAAAGGATCTGCATACGTAGTTGCTGGCAGCTGATATCGTAATTCCTCTCTGCGTCCAGGAAAATGTAACGTGCAGCTGTTTCCATGAACGAAGCGTATGAAGTTGTCATTCGGTCACGATTACAAGACTATGGAATTGCAACGAGTTTGTAAAATCTCTGTTTAGGAAATACTATTTCCGTACAAAAAAAAGAGGCCTGAGTTCCTATATAAGGAAAGAACGAATCGAAATTCGTGAAGGCGCGGCCACTTCTCTGTAAAATGTCTTCATAAGAACCACAATAAAGCATCGCGACTGTCCAAAAACATGACGTAAGCAATGAGGCATCTCCATGGGTGGCACTTCAACTTACAGGCACGCCTTGCGCCATGTTGTGCCTCCTTGCCCTTCCTGTGTGAAAGGGTTCGCCATTGTAGGTAGGATGAGCTTCACGAGAATGAAAACGATGTGGGACTTCATAGACTCTCCCGACTATGATATCATTTCGAGGAACGCCTTATAAGGTTTTCCAGCATGTCAGTATTTTTCTAATACGAAGCCCAAGCATATTGGCCAAGACAATGGCAGTCAGGTAGTTTTCACCGACGTTTCAGACGTATCTGCAGGGCGATCGCCCTCATAATCGAAGCGGTAAGAACCTCTGAAACGTCGATTAACTTCTAACAAACTACACGGCACACCCAGAAGACATCCATCTACATATTCGCAGCTGTGAGAACCTGAAATCTCAAATAATGAGTAAGCTCAACGTTTCGCTCATAAAAATGTGCATTCCTTTTTATTCGATGTGGTTCGTAACGCTCCGGAAAATGTTCATTCAGGAAAGTCGTTTGTACACTGCAATTCAAACGACGCTGCATCTCAAATAAGAGTCAGGCGTCTTACCGCTGATCCAACCCGTTCACTAAATTGTGGGTGGTAAATTTACGACCTCTGTATTCCGCGCGCGCTAACTGCTGTCTTTGGAAATGCACCTCTGCATAACGTAATCCACAAAACGTCTTTTGTTTAATAAAATCTTGTTAGATTAACTCATAAACGTCCTCGGTTTTTGTCGGTAATAAATCTGCGATGGAAGCTACGCCACTTACGACTTATAATATAGGGTGATTTGCAACCTCCGACAGTTAACCCACTGCCACAGGGAGCAGAGCTTATGTAAATCGTAAATATTCTCGGCAATATCACGCCTTCCTTCCTCCCCTCCTGCCTTCTTCGCTCGGTTACAGGGAAATTGATAGCGAGGCGTTCAACAGGTGATGTTTTTCAACGCTCGTTCCACTTCACTTTATTGCACAATCGTATTCACTACCACAGACGAAATTTAACGCGATATCACCACGGCAACACACGACGAAGAAAAGTAGGCCTACTGAATTCCCTTTCATCAATATTTCTAAACTGAAGGCCTGGAAAGAAATCATTCCTGTAAGCCAAGCACCCCATTTTTCGATTAAGTAAATTATTACGGGCAAAACACCTCACCAACCACCCTCGACTTGCCTTAAAATTTGTTGCGTGCTTGGTCCTAGCAGTTTCCGTCGATGCAGCGTATCCGAACTGCTGCTTCCCGAAAATTAAGCTCGCCAGCTCCTTTTCCGTTACCTCAAACTTCGGTTTGGATTCTCTGAAGACTCTTCGATTACTTGTAATCTGCAGTAGAAGGTCCTTCTTCTTCCTCCAGTCTCTTATACACGTCTCACTGACATCGAACTTTCTACCGGCAGGCCGATTTCCGATTTCCTCAGCTACTCGAATTACCTCCAATTTTTCCCTCGCAGCGAAACACCTTATTCTCATATCATTCGTGCCCATTTTTCAAATAATAACTGAAACAGGAAATGGTCAACACCGCTTTTAAAAGGCAAGCAGCGGGTACAGAGATACATTTGGGTACGTAGTGACTCATACTTGTGTAAGCCTCGCACCCGGGTTTATGGGTAAATTATTTTTTTAAAAAAAGTGTGAGTGGGGTAAATACGATATTTGTTTCAAAAAAGTGCAAGGGGGAATATCCACCAAGCCATAACGACGCATGAGAGACAGATGTAAAGCTCCACTCATTCTTAACGTCTGCAATAGAAGAAAGTGAGTTGTAAGCTTCACGCTTCGACCGATTATCGTTTGTATAGAGAATGTACTGAAGTTTTAATCCCGTTGGCCTCGATGTCTGAGGTTCGAATATTGCTTGAGGTATCGACATTTAGATGTTATTTCGTGCTGTCCTGGGACTACAGATTTCTAGTATTTGTCGCCTGTGTTAATGGTAACTACACAAATGAAAGCAAGGCTGCAGTCGAACTAGCGCCAAGATGAAATTAACATAATCTACGTTACGTAATACGAAGTCTGGCGATTTCTTTGATCTGTACTACACGGGGCAACAACCCAAAAGACAGTCTTCGTCCCGAGAATATGATTTCGGAAGTCACTGTTGTTCAGATACGAGCATAGATAATGTAGGATGCTCCTGTACACGATGCCATGAAGGCGTTTGCTTTCTTACGAGGCGCTCACGTTATGCAGTGAGTGAAATCGTATAAACTGGGCCAAGGTGACACATGCAGGAGGGCCTTCATCCACCTCGCTGCAGTGTTCTTGGCTCGTGGCTCATCGACACGCTGCAATGCTTTTCGTGACCTCGCTTCACACTACACTCGCGATTTTAAGGTCGTCAGAACAGATTTTAACAAGTTTCCTTTATGGTTGAATGCATCGTCAATCAAACACTGTGGATGACATTTGAGGTTCTCGTGGTGGTGAAGATGTCGACGTTCGTCTTCTGGGTTGTTGCGCTGTGTGGGAGGAGATGGAAGCGAAGATTTCTGTCTCCTGGGTTGTTGCACTGTGTAGTCTGGTCGATGTTTACCAACGTTTCGGAGGTCATACTGCCTTCGTCATAAGTATGACCTCTGAAACGTTGGTAAACATCGACCACACTACACAGCGCAACAACCCAGAAGACAGAAATCTTCATACTAAGAAT